ATTTTCAAATATTACCATATTATCAGTGACGAATACCTATGTATGTAGTATTTATAATTATTTGAAGCTCGAATATTTGAACAATTAGTTTTATCTCTATTCCTTTTAAAAATAGATATGCAATAATAGGTGTTGCTTATTGTTTCGCATTGTATAATAGATATATTGATATGAAGCAAATGAACATTATCTACTTTACCTAGAAAATTTTGAACAATCAATAGTTGATGAGGACACCCAGCGAAAGTCATCAGATCAGTCATAGTACGAAAACACATTATCGCAAACAATTAGAACTATTTTGATTTCATCACAAGCTATTGTTGAACTGTTTACTTATCTGATAGATCTCAGATGATAAAATATGGTCGTGGTAACTTCTGGAGTCCCACAGGGTTCCCACTTAGGCCCGTTGCAATATACTATATTTATTAATGATCTTGTGAGTTTAGTACGCAGTGAAACTCTTTTATTTGCGGATGATGTTAAGATTTTTACAGTCATTGACCATATTTATCATTGGTGTGGAGCGAATGTTGTACTTCTGATGCGAAACCTATTAAAATTACATTTAGTCGATCTTCTTACTTATTCTTAGAGTATCAACGGTAGATCTTTACAAACTACAGTCTAGATCAAGGACTTTGTTATTTCATTTAGCTTACATATTGAAAAAACAATAAACTGTGCATATAATATGTTGGGTTTAGAAATCGGCATTGCGTTGATGTGTCACTTTTTCGTTTAAAATTGGTTCGTTCGTTACTTGAGTATTGCTTCTCCATCTCATCTACAAGTTATATCTTATAGACTAACCAATAGAGCATGTACAGCATTTTTTTGAGAATCTGTGGATATAAAATAACCCGTAACTCATCTTCTTAGACTGAGTAATAGATATATAGTTTAGAAGTATTTGGGACTTCTGTTGACGAGTATAAACGAAGTGTTAAGAACATTACAATATAAGTCTCTAATTCAAGACTGTTTTGTATTTGTAACAAGGTTTTACTCGTTGATTAAATAAATAAATAAAGTTTGACCAAAGAAAGAAACTTAAAGATTACCGATAAATGTTTCTACTGTCACTTGTTGAAGCTCTACTAAATAAAAGCACTGAAGAAATATTGTAATACAATTCTGGAAAACAACAAAATACGAGTAAAAGTCAGTTGTTACATTTAAAAAATAAGACGACTGCTGGTAAAACCAATTGATATTATATATTCTGCAATAATTACAAATTGGGATATTTTTGCAGTTTTATAGTATTTATTTCTCATGCAAAATAGGATAAACTTGCGTGCCTAATTAATCGAGAACGAGTATTTTATAAAAGGAAAAAAGAAGAAAACATCGACGTTAATAATCACCTTGAATTCAGCAGGTATAAATAGATAAAAAATAGAGACTGAAAGACGTCAATTCTTTGTGGAATCGGAATTCCCCATCCGATACAAAATTTCGTTATTACAGCAGGATCAATACAAACGCAACAAGCAAAATGTTAGTGAAATTAGCAACGTCATAACTTTTTTATTTTTCATCCGATTCCACTGACTACTTCAGCAGGCGGTAGATACACTCATTGCCTTTATTTTGTAAATACGAGTTCTTGATTTTAGTTACGGTTTGACTTGTCGTACAGGGTAAATCGAAACGAAGTTTCATTACATCAACTTTGAATCACTCTGTGGTGTGAATCCAGTTACCAATCAGACCGCAATGCTGCCATTACCAAGAACCAGATATATATATATAATTCACTTCAATACATAATAGTATTAGAAGCAAATGAAGATTTTACGACCAATTTTGCTCCTTCCTTCAATAACTCTTTTAATTCCCGTACGAAGTCAAAAAGTTTTTCATCAATTAGTACAAAAATCTATTGCCTTTCTGTGCTAGGTTCACATTTTTCTTGTCGTCATTGCTTCAGTTTATCTACAGTGACGAAGAAAATGAAACCTTTCGACTTAATTTAAGTACACGCTGTATAACAACTTCACACTCTACCCTCTTGAAATACAGTGTCACATCAATAACCATATGTACAGGTATTTTCACAGCATACTGTTCATATTTTTTGCCTCAATTGGGTAAGCACTGTATCAGTTCTTCCGTATGTTGGACCTTTTCGCAATTACATCTATTTAAATCAGTGATCGCAAACCTTTTCAGTGTGTTGAGCTGCTTTGATAATTTGGGAATAAACAGTGAGCTACCTATTCAGTGTAAGCCAACTTAAATGAAATTATACACAGTTATACGCGACATACATGTGTTTATTTTACTAATACTAATTCATACTAATTAACTTAAATAAACTAATAACTGATACATACTAATACATAACTACATCCATTCCTAAAAATCGTAGGTGTTCGAAAAATAAACAAAATTCATCGGCCAAGGTTTTGAATAAATCTTCTTTGTAAGGCTTGAGCTCCAATTTACTAATTAAATTACTACCATTTTCGATATAGAAGAAATAATATTTTTAAAAGAAGAAAACAAGTCCTGCCCAGTAGTCTGTCCTTTCAGTGGAATAAACTTCAAAAGACCTTCTTTAATCGCGAAATCACTAAAAACCATCCTGACGAACACGGCCATCAGCGAGGTGTCAACGACATCTGTGGATTCTTCAGTGCAAAATAAGCACAGTTATCGAAGTCATTTCTTAACTGTAAAACTATATCATTGCTCATTACTTCTACATGCCTCACCACTGTATTAGCAGAAAGTTGCATAGACACTTATCCCATCTTTATTTCTAAAGTTGGCAAATAATGAATCTACAGCTTCTAAAAACCCCCGTTTTATCATTTCCCCGTCTTCATAAGGTTTCTTCTTTTGTGTAATTATCTGGGGTACCCGGTATGATGCTTGAGTTGCAGCCTTATGTTTGTCGATTGTTTTTAAAAACATTGTTGTCCAATTAACTGATTTTTAAATCGTTTCAGTTTTTCCGTTTTGTTTTAGTACGGAAACAGATGTATTATATAACAAACATACAAAGCACCGTCGCCGCGCTTTGAGTATTTATTCCGTTCAAAGTAGTCGAGATCGTTCTCGAACAGATCGCTCACCGCAGTGTTGCCGGTGCTTGTGTTTATTATGAGAATTTACAAAATTTACGGAAGCTTCTATGATTTTCACACCTTTTTACAATATGTTGTGGCCACCAGAATTGCCTTTGCGAGCTAGCGGTAGCTCGCGATCGACGGGTCGGCGACCACTGGCTTAAATAGTTACTGTAATCATGAATAAATTTGTTTATTATTAAAAGTCAAAAACGATTTTGAAAATAAATCTTTATTGCTTAACAAAATAAGCACAGTTATCGAAGTCGTTTCTTAACTGTAAAACTATATCATTGCTCATTACTTCTACATGCCTCCCACTGTATTAGCAGAAAGTTGCATGGATTTTATAGCAAACACTTATCCCGTCTTTTTTTTCTAAAGTTGGCAAATAATGAATCTACAGCTTCTAAAAACGCCCGTTTTATCATGTCCCCGTCTTCATAAGGTTTCTTCTTTTGTGTAATTATCTGGGGTACCCGGTATGATGCTTGAGTTGCAGCCTTATTTTTGTCGATTGTTTTTAAAAACATTGTTGTCCAATTAACTGATTTTTTAATTGTTTCAGTTTTTCCGTTTTGTTTTAGTACGGAAACAGATGTATTATATAACAAACATACAAAGCACTGTCGCCGCGCCTTGAGTATTTATTCCGTTCAAAGTAGTCGAGATCGTTCTCGAACAGATCGCTCACCGCAGTGTTGCCGGTGCTTGTGTTTATTATGAGAATTTACAAAATTTACGGAAGCTTCTATGATTTTCACACCTTTTTACAATATGTTGTGGCCACCAGAATTGCCTTTGCGAGCTAGCGGTAGCTCGCGATCGACGGGTCGGCGACCACTGGCTTAAATAGTTACTGTAATCACGAATAAATTTGTTTATTATTAAAAGTCAAAAACGATTTTGAAAATAAATCTTTATTGCTTAACAAAATAAGCACAGTTATCGAAGTCGTTTCTTAACTGTAAAACTATATCATTGCTCATTACTTCTACATGCCTCCCACTGTATTAGCAGAAAGTTGCCTGGATTTTATAGCAAACACTTATCCCGTCTTTTTTTCTAAAGTTGGCAAATAATGCATCTACAGCTTCTAAAAACCCCCGTTTTATCATTTCCCCGTCTTCATAAGGTTTCTTCTTTAGTGTAATTATCTGGGGTACCCGGTATGATGCTTGAGTTGCAGCCTTATGTTTGTCGATTGTTTTTAAAAACATTGTTGTCCAATTAACTGATTTTTAAATCGTTTCAGTTTTTCCGTTTTGTTTTAGTACGGAAACAGATGTATTATACGTATATAACAAACATACAAAGCACTGTCGCCGCGCCTTGAGTATTTATTCCGTTCAAAGTAGTCGAGATCGTTCTCGAACAGATCGCTCACCGCAGTGTTGCCGATGCTTCTGTTTATTATGAGAATTTACAAAATTTACGGACGCTTCTATGATTTTCACACCTTTTTACAATATGTTGTGGCCACCAGAATTGCCTTTGCGAGCTAGCGGTAGCTCGCGATCGACGGGTCGGCGACCGCTGGCTTAAATAGTTACTGTAATCATGAATACATTTGTTTATTATTAAAATTCAAAAACGATTGTTTTTAAAAACATTGTCTGTTGTCCAATTAACTAATTTTTTAATTGTTTCAGTTTTTCCGTTCTGTTTTAGTACTGTCGCCGCGCCTTGAGTATTTATTCCGTTCAAAGTAGTCGAGATCGTTCTCGAACAGATCGCTCACCGCAGTGTTGCCGGTGCTTGTGTTTATTATGAGAATTTACAAAATTTACGGAAGCTTCTATGATTTTGACACCTTTTTTAGCGGTAGCTCGCGATCGACGGGTCGGCGACCACTGGCTTAAATAGTTACTGTAATCATGAATAAATTTGTTTATTGTTATTAAAAGCCAAAAACGATTTTGAAAATAAATCTTTATTGCTTAACAAAGTAATCGCAATCAGTTCACGTCTTCGTCGCTGCTGGCCGGTTTGGTCCTGATCAGATGCACGGTTTCTGCCTCGAGAGCGAGTTTTCTGATGTTGGCCAAACATCCAGCGGCTGCTTCTTGGAGTTTGTAGTCTTTGGTGGACACCGCCTTCAAGAGGAACGTCACCACACCTCCCTCGTGCATCGTGATACAGTTGAAAGGGTTTTGGGAGAGATGGTATAAAGCCAAGGCCGTCGTTCTGTGAACGTCAGGGTCTTCGTCTGCCATGTATTGGACCAGTGGGGTAATCGCTCCAAGTCTGGAAAATTTGAACATCATCTTTGGTTCAACAAGACATCGACCTAAACTGCTTTGCAACATGAAAAATTTGAACCAAATTCAAATCTCGATATTTTCGTAATGGTTTTCGGTTTTCGGGAGGTTCTTGACCAATTCTTTGAGAATACTTATACAGGGTGAACAAAAAAAATGACGTTTTTTCCAGCAAAGTTTGGTGCTATGTGAGATTCTCATTTTTGACCTTGGAAATTTTCCTATGCATCTTTTTGATCTGACTAACTATCCTAAAAAAAAGTAATTTATCCAATTTTTCGGAAGTTGGCGTAACTCAAGTTATCGAATTTTGAAACAGTGTTACATTTATCACTAAAAAAGGGGCTCTTTTGGGGTTTGGGGAGGCCTCTTGCGGCCGCCCATTCAAGGGTATTTATTTAATTTATACCTCAAAAGCTTCTCCTACAAGACCTCAAAAAGTATCATAGGTTCATGGTAAAGTTTTGTTATTTAATTGTCAATAACGTCTTAAGGGACATATATGATTAAATAACAATGCTTTGAAATAAACTAAGTCTTAAAAGCATAAAAAGCCAGCACATTGAAAAGTGCAAGATTTAAATTTTGTCAGTTGTGATGATTATCGACCCAAGAGCTAAAATTCCTTTTGACAAATTATTTACCTTCCAAACATCTTGCAATTAGATCCCCAGGCGCAGCAATACGCTATAGCTGAAGCTAAATGCTGCCTCAACAGAACGTCTTCAGTGCCAACTAAATCCACAAGCATTTGTACTACACCATGGTCTGTAATAACTGCTAAGTTTTCTAAAAAAAAAAAATTTTTTTCACTTCCAACCCGAGAAATCACCATGATTGACCGCAATATCCTATTGAGAAGTAGCATTCAAATATAATGAAAAGAAAAAAAAACAAACAGTTAAATAATGCCATTAGGAATTATATTGAGCCAATTCCATTCAGGAAGAAACGGCAATACAAATGCTTTTAGAGGACTTAACTGACAAAAGTCAAAAAACAAAAATTGGATCTACATTATCAAGCTGAAAAAATATTTCTGTTGGTGTACCACAAGGTAGTGAACTAGGTCCACTACTAGTTATTGTATACATTAATGATATTTGTAATATTTTAGATTATTGCGAAATTCAGATATTTGCAGATGATACATAAATAATTCTAGATGAAAATATAGACACTGCTTTAAAAATGTTAAATTCTGACTTAGCAAATATCATAAATTGGTTAAATGCAATTAAACTAAAATTGAATGCTTTTAAAACAAGATGTATGCTAATAGGGAAATATCGAAATGAAAATATCATATTTAGGTTAAATGGTGAAATAATTGAAAATGTTGAATCAATTAAATATTTAGGTATATATATATATACATATTATATGTGAAAAATTAAAGCTTCCGCCTTTTCTTGGGAACTTCGACAAAATTTAAGCAAGGAGGACTCTTTATACTTTTTTTATTCTCTCTAGCTTTCAATGGTCTTTGCCATCATCATCAGGAGCTGCAATTACATTGATAACAGTAGCAAAAATAGTGTAAAATGAAATTTAAATTAACTAAAAGTATAAAGAGTATATAAAGAGTCCTCCTTGCTTAAATTTTCTCGAAGTACCCAACAAAAGGCGGAAGCTTTAATTTTTCACCTAACTGGTCTAGACGACAATGACCACGTCTCAAGTTATTATATATAGTAAACTAAAGTTTGAGGATCGCTATGAATACATTATTTCGAAAAAAATATATACTTTTATAGTGCTTCTCATAGTCTTAGTACATATCCCAAAAAAATAGTTTATAGTACAATTATTCTACCGTATTTACTATATTGTTCAAATATCTTGTTCACTGCCAATAAATCTGTATTCTCAAAATCACAAGACCTGCAGAATAAGGCTATGAGAATAATATTGAATAAAAGTAAGTACACCAAATTAAAATCTTTGTTACCAAAATTTCAGTGGTTGGATATGAAAAATTTCACATCATATTTCGTTCCTATTTTAATATTTTAAATAAAAATTCATCTTTTGCCACAACATTTAGAACACTATATAGAATTGAATAATCATTACCACAATTATTGTACAAGAGCAAATATGGAGTTTTATTTAAAAAATTGCAATCGATATTTTAGAAAGGTTTACTGGAATTTAATAAACTAAATAATGATAGAAAGTCTACTTGTAATTTTAAGATTTTTAAAAGAAAATTAAAGGAATATTTCATGGGCAGTGAAAATTCTTAGAGATGCAAATTTTGTTTTTCTAACTATCTGTATGTTATGTAATTGTTGTAGTTTTTTAAAAGAATGTAATGGTAGCAATCATGCTAAATAAATGTTAAACAAAAACAAACAAAAATTCGACAACCGAACTTTATATTCCGAAATATTTTAGAACGATTAAGAAATAAATAGCTCCTCACGTAGTTTTTCTTCTTGACTACCTCATTCGGATTTTGATGTTGCCAAAAAAACATTCATACCTTCACACCCCGTGGATGGACCAGTCAAAACCAAATCGGCTGACACCATGATATTTTGAAGTATTTGTAAAATGAGTTAAAAACGTCATTTTCGTGATGTAAAACAGAATATTTCGCGATATGAATAAAATTCTATAAACACCACGTTTGAAAATGCCACTAATGGCTCAGTTTTGATACTGGATATTTATAGTATAACATAATATTAAAATATAAATCATTGTTTGGAGCATGATGAATTCCCATCAAAATTAAAGTGTTCCAACATTACTCCTGCGCCAAAAGTTCAACATTTGGAGCTATACAGGGTGACTTTGAAGTTGAGTCATTAATTTTCAGATAATGATTGTAGAAGGAAGATAAACCAAAATATGTGTGTAAAAATAAAAAAAAATTAAAAAAAAATTTTACCTTGTTTTATAAAGTATCCTCCCGACAAGTATTTCAGTGCGGACCTGTATTTGATCGTGAGGTCTTGGAGCACCGGCATGCCGTCGCCTGTGAGGTCTTAAGTCACCTGATTCACGAGCCCGATGTACTACATTAACAAAGGCACGAGGGGTTGGTTGCACTCGATTGGGAAACCGATCCGCATAAACATGTGCCATTTTTTATTTCGTTTGAGCCACGCAACAGACACCACTATTCACTCACGCGTTACCGACTGACACTGACTGTATACAACTGAATCAAATAATTGTAAAAACATCGTTCCAAATTCTTTCGCTTTTTTGTTTCCGATGCGATGAACCGATAAGGCGGATTATATCCGTTGTTGCCAAACACGAGCACATAATATTATTATTGAGACAGGGCGGTACTCAAACTTCCAAAGGGCTATAACTTTGTTACTTTAATTTTACCAGAAAAATGGTAAAGGAAAAAAACATTTCTTTTGATCAGATCTACTCACTGTTAAAATAAATGACTCAACTTCGAAGTCACCCTGTATACAAACATGCGGCTGATTAATGAAGGGATAATATATAAACAAATCATTGAATTCGTTGAAGAAAACAAAATTTTTACAAGATATCAAGCTGGATTTAGAAAAAAACATTCTTAATAATAACAATAATCCTCACCAATATCTTTAGCTACTTCTGCAATTGCTGCACAAACACAGGCTAAAACTCTGGTGTCAGGAGATTTGAGTAGATTGACGATAAGCTCTAAACCACCAACAAAACATCGAACCATTTCTCCAGAATCGGTAGCATGTCTTATGCACGGTACTAAAGACCATGCTGCGTTAGCTTGAACCTGAAAAGCGTATTCTCAAAATGAAAAAATAACGTCACCATGAAATTCAAACAAAATCTTGAACAAACCGATGATGATAATCAGGAGACTGGATGCTATTTTGAGGCAATATTTTTGGTTGAAAAGCAGGAACAAGTAAACAAGGTGTATATTACTTTTTCATCAAATAATTGCAGGAAAATGTTTCATTGTATCCTAACGATTAAGCGTTATAATCGAAAAATGGTTATTTCCAAGCATAAAAAATTAATCGTGTTTTCGTAATTTTAATTCATTAGAAACAACCTTCAATTTGTATAAAGATCTACGCTCAACATCAATGTAGATGTAAATATTGGTATAAAATATGCCGTTCGCTTAATTGTTCTTAAGTAAAAACAAGTACATTTTCGAAAATATTAGAAGCCAGATTACTGTAAGTGATAAATGTTAAAATCTATCAAGACTATAGTCCGTGATATAGATTTTTTCTCGACACACGCACAAACACACATTTAATAGTAAATGTATAAATAAAATAAAAATATAACCCAAAAAACACAGTAGGTATCTCATTTCGAAATTTTTCGCGACTACAATAGTTCCTCGCCATTCAGCGAGAGATGATAAAAATGTTAGAAAACGTTAATTTCTTGCGTGTTCTTTGTCTGAGTAATATTTAACAGCGCTTAAGAGACATTAACAAGCAGTATTCGTCCAAGGCCGAATTGCACGTCGATTTGCATCGAATTATTTCATAATGCACCGCGTTACCGACACATTCAGTTTCTAAATGATAGCTCGTTCCTAATTCAACAATAATTAGCCTTTAGGAGCAGTCACAGGCGAATGGTCAATGAACTTTCGTTGTGTCGAAAGTACTACCCGACGAGATCTGTTGCAGCGGAATATAATTCGAAAATTTTCAAATTCCGTTTATGCGGAGCAGCGCGTATGTACGGTTAGGTTGTGAAACGGATTTGCCAATGGGACCGGTTTCGATATAGACAGTGTTGCAAGATTAGGATTGAAATGCGTATTGGGTTCGTATGAAAATTACAGGGCGATTTTGAATGGAATATTCCACTTTTGAGGCTGTCTAAAAGCCAAAAAAATATAAGATATATACTTGTTACGAAATATGAAAAAAAGTTACTATAAACATGGGTTACGGGGTGATAAATTTGGAAATTTGGTATAATTGTTTTTTATCTTAAGAGGCTAGTTTAGGTTTAAATAGATTAAAATTATTAGATCCAGCGGAATATTATTGGCAAAAATATGTACGCCACTGCCTTTTTTGGAACTTTAATGTTCGTTGTTTTATTAAGCATCTAAAAATACAACTTCCTTGCCTCTTGTATTTTTTCGTATCTCACTTCGTTTTTAAGAAAAAAAAGAACCATTTTATTGCATGTCGCTGGACAAAATTAGTTATTAATTTTTGCAAAAAAAATCACAAGTTCCTTGGAAAACAAAAAATCATTTCTGCTTGGTTGTTTGACATTTGCACGTCAGCTCTTCTAGAAAAGAATTATTCGCGTAATTTTCTTTGCGAAATTTCTCTAAGAAGTTTTTGTTTCGGTTTTTGTGATCGAAAATTACACTTCTGCAGACATGCAAATTTTTCGAAATTATATTTCCTCGCCAGTTGGCGTATGCAGTAGAAACGAATTAAAGAAAAGCGAAGTCTTCGCGTCGTATAAGAGCTGCGTCCCATATTTTCGTAAATAAACGATTCCGTTAAGCAACCCGCGTATTTTTCCTTGAATCAAATCTGTTTCTTACGCAACTAAAATAACAGGTATGATGCCGAGATGACCTGTTTAGCTACACGATAATAAAATAAGGTGACGATCATTATATTTGTTTACAACGATATTACCTTAGTTTTGCAATTTAACTTTGCTAAATTGAATTTTTAAAACTGCAAGATGTCAAGGCAGCGATGTCTAAATAATAGAATATTATTCTGATGTAACTTCAACTTTCAAGTTCATTGCAAAATTACCAAGTCGGCTTGGATCGGTAGAGAAGTCTCTGCGTTATGCAATACATAAAAGTTGGGACGTGCCTTTACATAGCGCATAGATCCGGCAATCATTTTGGAGAAAACCACAAAGGTTAAAGATTTTGCATGACTTACGAAGAGACACGGATTCTAGGTTTTATAATGCGTAACTGCCGACCTTTTTGAAACGAAGCAGGGCTAAAAGTTCCTGTTATATAATATGTATATACATAATATATAATATATAATGTATAATATATAATATGTAATATATAATATATGATATATAATATATAATATATAATATATAATATATAATATATAATATAATATATAATATATAATATATAATATATAATATATAATATATAATATATAATATATAATATATATATATATATATATATATACGTAATATATATATATATATTATATATTATATATTATATAATATATGATATATAATAAAAGGCTATGCTGTTTTGTGGTACTATGAATATGGAATTGTTATAGGAAAACTTTTGATGAACAGAATAATGGAAATAAGAATAAATATTTTACTTTTCAGGTTAAAAATTCCAACCAAAAGCTAATAAGGAAGATACGCTGTTTTGTTTTTGCTCTCGTCTTAAAAGATTCCATGTAAAGTAGCACAAAAAATGGCGTCAAGTAGGTTGCCTCTACACAAAAATGATTATGTATCAAGTCAGTCAAATTGGACCATACAATAATTAGATATCACCCTCCACTTCTATATTCGTTACGCTTGAAGCAAGTAGGTATTTAAAATGTTTTGCATTACAAAGAAGTGTCCCGTGAATTTTTGTAGTATAATAAACTACAAAATACAAACCCTTGGAGAATCGTTTTTCAGCAAAGACCAAATGAGTCTGACGCCATCCAATTCTTCGATGATCCTCATCGAATCTTCATCTTCGGCACACTCTCTCAATACCATCGGGACGTTTTCTAATAATGGAGGATAGGTGTAATTGAGCAGGTTCACCAAGTGAGGTATACCGTCTGCTCTCCTGAAAAAAAATGACGTCAAGCAGGTTGACTACGAGCCTGCATAGCAAAGAAATCGAACGGATCAAGTCAGTCAAACATGCCCATACAATTAACAGATAGAAAGGTTCTCTTTTCTTCCTACAGTGTGCCGAGCAAGTTCAGGGTTGCCAAATTGCTGGGAATATCAAGTTGAGTAGGGATTCATTGGCGATTGGCAGTAACCAAATTTTTTTCTGAAAATCATCAGGAGCCTCTGAAACATCCAAAAACGAGGTTGAGCGGTTTTTTTTTCGTTTTTCGGCTCAAAGCTCCACCGTCACTGGACGGATTTTCAAAAACTACAAAGCTTGTTCGTCCTTGGCATTGTAGTAACCTTGTATAATTTTTTTATAGGAATCTGAGCATTGCTTTCCAAGTTATATACTGGCCAAGGATTAGCGGAGAAACATACATATAAATAAGTGACATAGTTTTTCGTGATGTACATCTTATATAATATATCCAAAAAACCTCTCATTTTCGTTAATCGCCAGTGGCGTGGGAAGTAAAGATCAGTCTGGAAAGGTGCCTGCAAATTCGATCGGCAGATGTTGCACTGGATAATGGCAAAAAAGTAGAATATTTTATAGTAAAATCGTCAATACCTCAGGGTACTTCTGTTGTGTTCAAATTTCAGACATTCGCAAAGTGCCCCAACAACGTTGCTCAAAACACCTTCGTCTTCTTCGACGTTCTCTAGGAGCTTGACAAGCGTCTATAAATAAAAAAAAGCGTTCAGACAATGTAACGCGATCTTGCAGTACAGGCTATTATGTGAAAAAAAAAACGAATTCACAAGTGGACAACAGCTAGTGCTAGGTTGACATCTTGTAGAAAAACCTATAACATGTCAAAATGTCACTTTTCAAGATACGTAATACGCGTGCGGTTCCAACCAATGAATCCGAATAGATTAGGCGCCAAGCCTGTATGTTTGTTTACATTGCATTGTTAGTCGTCAAAATTGCGTAGTATCAGTATACACTTACTTGACCGCCAATACTTACCAAAGTGACAGTCTTGTGTCAACTTATGATAATAATCATACTTACCTCCAATCTGAATTCGTGTACTTTACATTTCTTACCTCGACAGTTTTCAGTTGATCCAACCTTTCAACATTCGCAGGACTGATGGCTGTCTTCCAAATTGCCCCTGTGACAGCAGCAAGCAATGGCTTATCTTCTTTCGTTTTCGGGTTCCTGGCCATATTGACCAGCGGGTCCAACCCACCTGCTTGTCTGACCATATCTCTGGTCAAAGCGTTCTCGCTGCATTTAAATATCGTTTCTGCGCAGTATCTTCTTAGCATAGGATATTCCTGAAAGCATTTTGTTTCTTGAAATCATTTTTGAATCTAGGAAAAAAAGAGAGTGAAACGCGGCAACACTGTACTCCAACCGTGTCCCGCTACTATTTCGCTTCATCTCTATCTCGCAGAATGATGGTTATTTTTCCATATGTTCAAAACAGAATCGTATTCAAAGATGCATGCAAATTACTTATTAGATAAATCCATATACCACTGACATCGAAATGACAGAGACAGAAATAGAATCACCACGTTGCCTAGCAACTCGAGTGACGAGACCACGGAACAGCCCTCCTTATACAAGTGCGCCTTCCTGAATCAAATTCAAGTAAACAGTTAATACAAACGTATGACCTATTAAGTCTGGTTTCTAAGATACAGGTCATCAAAGAAACTGGGAATTGTCAAAAGAAAAATTATAGTGAAACGTTCTCATAACTGGAACCTTCATTGGCGAAAAGATACCCTCTCAAAATTAGGCAACCGG